AGAATTATTAAAGATAGTCATCTACTATCATTAAAGATAGATCTACTATTTTTATTTATATTTTAATGTAAAGACTTGATGTGAGTGAGTCATCGTTGATGATACAACCTAACCTAACTTTTAGTCACCGAACGGCGCGAAATTTGAATTGAATTTCGTACTCTACATCATTCTTTAAATTTTATACCATTGTAACCTCTCATAAAATTTTTAATTCAACTTCTAAGAGTTATTTTACTTTAAAGAATAAAAAATTCAAATATTTTTTAGAGAATGTACAAATATTTTTTAAAGATTGTACAAATATATTGTAAAGAAAGTACAAATATTTTTTAAAGACTGTACAAATATTTTTTACACCTACTGTATCGCAAACTAGCTTTTAACGTCACAATATTATTTAATAATAAAATTATTCAACCAAACATGCACCAGAAATGACGTCAATAAAAATATAAATACGTCACTTTTATTAATTCTGTCATTTTTTAAATTCTATCATATTTTTGTTAATATATATCGTTGTTATTACATTCTTCTTTATTACTTGCACGTAACAATTTCATTTCTGGTACATAAAATTACCTTGTTGTCCCAAAATCATCCTGTCATTATTCAGATTTCTCAGTGCTTTACAATCATGCATAATTCATGTCATAAATTGTATCCTCATTATTTCTTCAAATTTTCGATTAATCCATGACATAAAATCTTTCATTCAAAATGATTTATTTTGGCCAAAAATGAGAGACAAAATTTTGATAAAATTTTATAGATTTCTATATTTTATGAATGAACTAAAATTAACTATAAAATAAACTCGATGAAGTGCAGTTATAATAATCCAGAAATAATTATAATATAATTACCTTGAGTTTCTAAAAATCAAATTACGTCACGTGACATTGTGAAAATTAACGAAAAACAAATTTCTCAAAAAATTGTATAAATTTCTATATTTTATAAATAAACCAGAATTAACTATAGAATAAACTAGGATAAATTATGATATAACTAGCTTGAATTTCTAAAAATCAAATTATGTCACGTGACATCGTCAAAAGAACGAAAAACAAATTTTTCAAAAAATTGTATAAATTTCTATATTTTATAAATAAACCAGAATTAATTATAGAACAAATTACAGTTATAATAATCCAAAAATAATTATAATATAATTAGCTTGAGTTTCTACAAATCAAATTACGTAACATAAAATTGTAAAAATTAACAAAATTACATAAAATTTGATAAACGTCGACATTTTATAAAAAACCCAAAATGAACTATATAATAAGTTACAGAAAATTATAACATACCCCGCGATTCTACGAATCAAATTACGTGGCATAACATAGTCATTAGCAGTACCATTACTCAATGGCACCATTATTTTCCCGTGTAAAATTGCAGCGAGTACGAAGACGACGGTATCCGGCTAAAACCAGATGAAATATTAATAACGCAGGATTTATGGTTCGTGTACAATGATATCGAGTCGAAATAACAGGATCCAGGTGCGGGTATGCGACTTTAGTTCATGCGGTCTGACTCTGAATCGTCGTAACTACTTAGAGCCACATGGCCGAGTCAAACAATACCTTTACCACTTGCCCTCTTCCTCCAATAAAGTGCCTTTCAACCAACGAGAATTACCGCAATTCGTTTTCTCTGTATCGCATTTGCCTTTATCATTAGCCGATAATTTATATTATTTTAAATGTTAATTCAACATTAAACGGTGCATGAATTTACAATTACGTTCGACCGATCAAATATTTCTTTGTACCAAATATTTCACCCCTGAGCTACAATTTCGATACGTTTAATTGTCAATTTTACACGTGCATGATTATTAATTTTTTATACTGGTATTGCTCTTTTCTTTATTCTTCATTTTGGAAATTTTTTTATCTTTTTATTTTGTAACATTACTTTATTTATTATTGTGAATTTACAGATATGTAGAATATTAATAAAAATGACAAGTTATATGACTTTATATTTGTTTTAGAAGCTTTGTGACTTTGTAACGTTATAACAAAATTATTTAATTATAGTATGTTATGTTAAGTACACGCTATATGTTATTATAGTAAGTTTATGTTATAACAAAACAGCAATAATATTTTATTAACACAAGCTAACTTAACATGAAATTATATGACTTTATAATTAAACTTACTTCAGAAAATTTCTGTCTCTGTAACTTAACAAAATTATTTTACTATAGTATATTATGTTAAGTACACGCTATATGTTATTATAGTAAGTTTATGTTATAACAAACTACCAATAATATTTTATTAAGACAAGCTAACTTAACATGAAATTATATGAATTTGTAATTAAACTTCTTTCAGAAAATTTCTGTCTCTGTAACATAACAAAATTATTTTACTATAGTATATTATGTTAAGTACACGCTATATGTTATTATAGTAAGTTTATGTTATAACAAAACAGCAATAATATTTTATTAAGACAAGACTCGATACGAAAATAAATACTTGTTCCATAACTGAAACATTCTACAAGTAGCAATTAATCGATAATTAATTAGCTGATAGTGGCAGCAAAGTCAACAACGTGGTATGCAAATTAAGTGATTTAATTATACTGTAACAATGAATATAGTGCATAACTTTATCAAAGTAATGTTTGAAGAATTATTTCCCTGAACACCCCGTTGAGGTTATGTTTCCAAGTCCTGATTTTTAATCGATTCGCAACGAAAGGGTTACTGTAACGACGAAATTCTGCGCACCTGCTTTGTATAATTTTTAGCGCGAAGACATAATTCATGTGGGGAATTCAATCTTTAATAGCTGGTAATATCTAACGCCTACTGACAGTCTTAATGTCCCAGCAAGAAATCATAATTAGCGATACCAGTAGGCGTCGTACATATTAAAACAACGGTTTCATGATAGATTCTTCTAATTTTTTACTTATTACAATTTTTGAATTAACTGTAAATTGGAAAAAATTGTCAGCATTAATTTTTGGTAAATTGGTAAAAATTATTAGCAGTCATTTTTTGTAAATTATTAAAAATTGCCACAGCGTTCATTTTTTGTAAGTTGTTAAAAATTGTCAGCAGGCATTTTTTGTAAATTATTAAAAATTGTCACAGCAGTCATTTCTTGCAAATTATTAAAAATTGTCAGCAGTCATTTCTTGCAAATTATTAAAAATTGTCAGAAGCCATTTTCTTGCAAATTATTAAAAATTCCCAGCAGTCATTTCTTGCAAATATTATTAAAAATTGTCAGCAGTCATTTCTTGCAAATTATTAAAAATTGTCAGAAGCCATTTTCTTGCAAATTATTAAAAATTCCCAGCAGTCATTTCTTGCAAATTACTAAAAATTGTCACAGCAGTCATTTCTTGCAAAATTATTAAAAATTGTCAGCAGTCATTTCTTGCAAATTATTAAAAATTCCCAGCAGTCATTTATTGCAAATTACTAAAAATTGTCACAGCAGTCATTTCTTTTAAATTCTTAAAACTTGTCAGAATTAATTTTTTTACTGAAACGTCACTTTCACAAATTTAATGACAAAGAATGAATAATAAAATAACATCAGATAAATTTATTCGAAATCTGGCTTAAGCGATTTAATTCGGGAGGGTTTTCGTAGTTTCATCAAATCTGACACGCTTCATAGAAATTTTCCTTTATTACGCACAATTTAAGAGCGATAGGCCTACCATGTTCGCGTAATTAAATTTCATCTGGCCTATATGTTTCAGTCTCACCGAATCTATGTTATACACATTCTCGTTTCTGCGATTCGTATGAATGAACTTCTTGAAATTCGTACGTGAAAGACCTTCGTGAATATTTTATGAGAGCTTGACGTCATTATCTTTTCAATTGTACATTTACAAACTCGCCTGTATTCAAGTAACTGACTTTAGCTTGGGTAACATGCTATTAATACATGAATTACTTACTTTATTATTAATTTAATACTCTGTTATTAATATAATAAAACTACGTTGTTAATACAACAGAAATAATGAGAGAAAAAATTCAAGAAAACTGTTATTTTTAGATGTACAATTTTAAAGCTTGTTTGTGTCGTTACGTCCGCCATGTTGATGTACCGTAATCAAAATGGCGGACCGAACTGTGCAGCGATATTAAAATAAATCGATAATACAATCAAGATTAAAATCGATAATAAAGTATATGAAAATTGTGAATAACTCTAATAAATTTTCATCCATATTTATAACTATTAAATTAATTTATTAAAAAATATATATTAAAATATTGTTCCTCCATATTAATCTCTTAATTCGAAATATCAATACTCAATTGCTTGTAATTATAAAAACTGACGAACATTTATATTTCATACTGCTATATAATTAATTAAATTGCTTCTTACAATACAATTATTTAAACTGTTTTTTATTATACAATTATTTAAATAATTTAACTGATTCTTTAAATTGTTTCAGTGCCACAAAATCATTCAAATTAATTGATTACTAAAATTGTTTCTCACTGAACAATTATTTAAACTATTAAATAAATTATTTAATTTACTTTTGATTATTAAAAATGATTATTGATATTTAAGTTATTTTTATTGTTTCTCACAAGACAATTAAATCATTTCTTACAATTACAGTAAGTATGTTACGAAATTATAACAGTATCGTTATTTGTGAACCAATAAATAATGTGATAATTGCACCCGTTTACAAATACATTTATCCACTAAAATTTGAATGGTATAAAGAAAGATATTGTTCGAAGAAATCCGATATAAATTAAGAGAAGCGACTCTGATTTCTAAAATCGCACACACGTTTCTTCTATCTGATCCTGGAGGAATCCGCCAACGCAGGTGCGCATTCGGAAGATGCGCTGTAAAGTTGCCCCACCACCATGCACCACCATACTCCACCATATACGAGACAGGTCTATAAAAGCCCTGATCGCACCACTTCCTGCCTTTGAGTTTACCCGACAACCTCTTCGATCGGGATCCTCGTAGAATCGAGCGTGGAACTCTCAGTTTTTCGTGAATCAGTGCCATATAGAACGAGTGGACTACCATTTTCCGCTTTCGAGTCGAAGGTGATATACGTCAACAAATTATTTTATAATAGTGACATTTTTCTTTAGATTTTATTGGGAATTTATGAAGTAATATTAAATATGCAAATATTTAAATTAGATGGATTTTTTGTTCCGTGAAATTAGTTTGAGAGTATTGGTAGATGGTTGAGGAAGGTTTTTCGAAATTGTGATAGAAATTGTAGCTTTTGGATTTTTGTGATTTAGGTTTAGATTCTTGTGGTTTTTTAAGGGAAGTTCAATTATTTTAAGGTTTCAAATTCTCAAAATTTCAATATTTTAAAATTGCAAAATTTCAAATTTTTAAATTTTAAAATTTATAAATTGTCAAAATTCTGAGTTGGAAATTTCGAAATTTAAAATCGTTGAGATTTCAAGAGTTTCCAAATTTCTGAATGTTCGAATTCAAAATTTACATCTCGATACCATCAAACTTCTCAATCTTCAAAATTCCAAATTTCCTAATTTTCAAAATTTTTAAATCCTCAAATTTCAAAACACTCCAATTGTCTTCTTAATTTTCCAAGTTAAACAAATTTAACCTCAAAATTTCTAAATGTCCAAACACCCTACTTAACAATTTTTCTAACATTCCAAATTCCTAATTCTCAAATAAAAACAATTTGACAAAATAGAAAAATATATGCAAGAAAAACTAGACATGTCATAAAATAACAAATTAAAAAACAGAACAATAATTGCAAATAAAATTGCATTTTACATACAACAATTTTGTCAACATATATTATGAAATAATTATTTAAAAACAATTGTTCTAACGAAAAAATATGTTTATAATCGCATAGATGTTGTTCCCGCGTTTTAAACAAAACCCAAGCCAACCGATGGAATCATTCAATCAATATTGAAAGACATAACGGGAAAAATATCCGGAAGTTTTCCTTCAGATTTTATTGAAAATTCATTTGTTCATTTAAATTGACTTGTTGATCTACGCTTGAGTGAGTGTCCAAGCTTCGCTTGAATAATCGATATTTTTATAGAAGTTTGCTTTTAAATGTACAGAATAGAGTTCTCTCGAATACGGGAATTATGTATGCAGTTGTTGATTGCGTGTTGTTTTTGTTGCCTTCGAAGAATAATCTGCGGAACTTTTATTCCGCTGCTCCTTTGAAATCATGCTTCTATCTTTGTTTCAACTGAAGTTGTTGATACTTCCTTTTGTGATCGCTAATGATATGATTATTGGTTCGAGTGGTGGTTTACGTTGTAATTTGGTGCGTCGTAATTCCACGCTTGGTAATTCAATGCGCGGTAATTCCATTCGTCGTAATTCCCCGCGTGGTAATTTAACGCGTGGGAGTTCCAATCATCGTAATTCCACGCGTGGTAATTCAATGCGTAGGAGTTCCATTTGTTGTAATTCCACGCGTAGGACTTCCATTCGTTGTAATTCCACGCGTGGTAATTCAACGCGTAGGAGTTCCACTCGTCGTAATTCCACGCGTGGTAATTCAACGCGTGGGACTTCCACTCGTCGTAATTCCACGCGTGGTAATTCAACGCGTAGAAATTCGACGCGTGGTAATTCAGCGCGTAGGAGTTTCATTCATTGTAATTCCACGCGTGGTAATTCAACGCGTAGTAATTCCACTCGTCCTAATTCCACGCGTGGTAATTCAACGCGTAGGAGTTCCATTCATCGTAATTCCACGCGTGGTGATTCAACGCGTAGAAATTCGACGCGTGGTAATTCAACGCGTAGGAATTCCACACGTGGTAATTCGACTCGTGATAGTTCTACGCGTAGTAATTCGATCCGTGGTAATTCGACGCGTGGAACTGCGGCGCGTAGTAATTCGATCCATGGAAATTCAACGCGTGGTAATTCGATCCGTAGTAATTCGACGCGTGGAATTGCGGCGCGTAGTAATTCGATCCGTGGTTAATCGACGCGTGGTAATTCGATCCGTGGAAGTTCTACGCGTAATAACTCGACACGTGGTAATTCGATCCGTGGTAATTCGATCTGTGGGAGTTCTACGCGTAGAAATTCGACGCGTGGAATTTCAGTGCGTAGTAATTCGACGTGTACTAATTCCACGCGTGGTAATTCCATGGGTAGTTCTTCCACGCGCCATAATCCCATGCCTACGAATTCTACGCGTACTAATTCACCGCATTCTAATTCCACGCGCCATAATTCAACACGTACTACTTCCACGCATGGTAATTCGCCGCCTACTATTTCCACGCGTTATAATTCAACGCATACTAATTCCCCGCGTATTTATTCACCGCCTACTAATTCCACGCTTGCTACCACAACTCTGCGTCTACATACCGTCTCATAACCCACTACATTATCAACATAACTCAAGATAATAGTATTAAACACCTCCAAGCTACCCAAAGTACCTAAAACTACCCCAAGAATGTTCCACTACAGCAAGAGTCCTCTATAAAACCAACTTACCGCACAATTTTAAATTTCAATCCTCCCCTTTCAACGTCTTCGCCAGATCCCTTTGCAGAATTTTGAATTTCAATAAAAATCGCATCCCGCAATTCGCATTACGCGTTATTCACATGAAAATTAGACTCGATTAAATGTAAATCTTTCCGACACGCTGATCGATTGTTCTCGAATGGAGTATGACTTTGTATGTCCGGCACGCGAACAAAAATCCGTGACAATTGAGATTCCTGAAAAGCGTATTTTCGAGCTGCTTACTAGCTTATCTTTCCTTTCACGGAAGATCAAGGAGCATTGAAGAAAATGGACGTCCGCTTTTTCATTCAAATTCAATTTGTCTATTCGCAACTCGATCGCCTTTGTTTAAGCAGATTTCGAAGTTCAAAGTGTCCGATACTTTCTTCCAGTTTCTTTCAGATTTTAGAGTGGCAACTTCTCCGTTGTTACACGGTTCTGGTAAATTCGAAGCGAAGTTGAAAAATCAAAGGTTCTTGGGAAATCGGAGCAAGGATTTTTCATTTAACTTCGAAAGATTCAAGAATGAGTTAATGAAAGTATGGATTGAAAATACCATTGAACCCTTTTTTAATGGCAATTTTTGTTTTATGCAGAATATTACACTTTTTCATTACACGCCGTTTATTATTATGCATAAATTTGTACGGAATTTTTAATTTACATCGATATTACAATTTCCTCTTCATTCATATTAAACACCCGGATATTTGTACACTTAGATAGTTGCCGAGAAATAACGAAGAAAATTAAAACACAATATGTACCTTTCTAGATCAATGAGTTTTTGTTGTAACATTTTCTAATATGAAAAATAAACAAACGGATTCCGAATGCGCTTTAATGAAATTGTTGATCAAGTGTCTCGGTTCTTCAAATTAAAATCAATAATTGTTAAAAGTTTACAGCGGATTCATTCGTTGAGTTTATATGACGTATGTTGTTAATTTTTTCGTTAAAATTCTTCAACTGCTTATTCTCTTTTGATACTTATGTGTAATTAAACTGAATTTCACAGAACTGTAACAGATTATTTATTAACAAAGAGTTTACAATTTTTAAAAATCGATGAGGATTTTATTATGGAGGTTTAATTTATTAATAGCATACTTTGTGAATTTTAATAAAATTGTTCGATAAATTCTTATAATTACTTGCTGGATAAATTTCGATAATTAATTAGCAAATTCTCTTCGTGATTATTGATTATTAGAGTGGACATGTAGGTTGACATTTGAATTCACCTACGTAACCTAACCTCAACTATGTCGAAACTAACCTACAAATATAATATTCGAATTCATTCTGTTTTGAAGGATTGCTTTCAAATGAGTAATTGTAGATTATTGACATACTTTAAGCATACAAATGTGCATTTATTTTGTACTTAAACTTTTACTAATATTTCATTTCATTTCGATATATCGTTGTTGATACTTTCTTTTGTGATCATTAATCAAATGATTATTGGTTTGAGTGGTGGTTTACGTTCTAATTTGGTGCGTCGTTATTCCACGCATCGTAATTCCACGCTTGGTAATTCAACGCGCGGTAATTCCATTCGTTGTAATTCCCCGCGTGGTAATTTAACGCGTAGGAGTTCCATTCGTTGTAATTTCACGCGTAGGAATTCGGCGCATTGCAGTTCAACGCATAGGAATTCCATTCGTCGCAATTCCACGCATAGGAATTCCATTCGTCGGAATTCCACGCGTAGGAATTCGGCGCATTGCAGTTCAACGCATAGGAATTCCATTCGTCGCAATTCCACGCATAGGAATTCCATTCGTCGCAATTCCACGCGTAGGAATTCGGCGCATTGCAATTCAACGCGTAGGAATTCCACTCATCGTAATTCTACACGTAGTAATCCCACTCGTCGTAATTCTACGCGTAGTAATTCAACGCGTGGTAATTCAACGCATGGTAATTCGACGCGTAGGAATTCCACGCGTGGTAATTCGACCCGTAGTAGTTCTACGCGTAGTAATTCGATCCGTGGTAATTCGACGCATGGAATTTCGACGCGTAGTAATTCGATCCGTGGTAGATCGACGCGTAGTAATTCGCCGCGTAGAAACTTGATCCGTGGTAATTTGATCCGTGGTAACTCGACGCGTGGAATTCTGTCGCGTAGTAATTCGATCCGCTGTAATTTGACGCGTGGTAATTCGATCTGTGGCAGTTCTACGCGTGGTAATTCGACCCGTGGTAATTCGACGCGTAGTAATTCAACGCGTAGTAATTCAATCCGTGGTAATTTCATCCGTGGTAGCTCGACGCGTGGAATTCTGGCGCGTAGTAATTCGATCCGTAGTAATTTGACGCGTGGTAATTCGATCTGTGTAAGTTCTACGCGTAGTAATTCGACCCGTGATAATTCGACGCGTGGTAATTCAACGCGTAGTAATTCGACCCGTAATAATTCGACGCGTGGTAATTCAACGCGTAGAAATTCGGCGCGTGATAATTCAACGCGTACGAATTCCACACGTCAAAAACATCATCAAATTATAAATAACTATTGAATGTATCATCAAATACAAATATTTCATTTCACGTACATCGTCTAATGGATTAAATTATAAAAATTGATTATTAATTATAAATATATAATAATTATTCTTGACGAAGTACTAATTCCATATTTGTTCAATGCAGATAAAAACTGGTCACATGGCGATCGCTTCTGAAAATTCAGTACCTACCATCATACGCAACTTCATGATACTTTTCTGCTTCATCGGTTGTGCAGCTGGTACGTATACACCTTCATCGTCCATTCGAAAATAATTAAAACTACTATCGAATCAATCAATAAGTTTCTCCATCTTTAGAGAGTTCCATGCACATTGATGAATGTTACCAAACTTTTGGTTGCGTACGTATGCAGGCGTCGTCTCACATTCATGCAACAGTTGTGCTTGCCATTCAGCTTGATTTAACCCTTTCATTACTAACAGTATGGAGATTCTATAAACACATCTTACATTATAAACATTTATAGTGAAATTTACTTATTTTGTGGGATAAATATTCGTAGATACTCAAATCGACTTTTTGTATTTTATTTTGTTTGTTGTTATTAGATAGTTTAATCATACAATAAATTTTGTGCTGTTCAGTAATAATTAATAATATTTTTTGAAATTTTCCAATTTTAAACAAATTAACATATGCGTTATCAATATTGTATAAGTCATATTTAACTTTTTTAGAAATATTTAAATAATAAAATTTCGTGAAAGATGTATTCAGTTAAATTTGCCATATATTTATTGTTTCAACTTAATATTTATTTATTTGTTGAATAATATTCATTTATTTATTTGTTGAATATTCATTTGTTTAACAATATTTATTTATTTGTTTGTTTAATAATATTCATTTATGTATTTGTTTAATATTAATTTGTTTCATAATATTTATTTATTCATTTGTTTAACAATATTCATTTATTTATCATATATTTATTTATTTGTTTACATTTGATAAATTTTGTATCTAACATGAATATAATTTTTAATACAAAATAAATAAAAATCATTGTTTTTTTTTAACAAGCTCTAACTGCACAATAAAAAATGCAAAATGACTCTTCTCCCAGTAAACAATTAAATAAGCTCCGTAATAAATTATTCAGTACACATTTAATAGTAATTTCATAAAAGATAGTGTCATACCAGCGCAATAAGCGAAAAAAATACAGGTATCCCGCGGATTTTATTTATGGATCAGAAGGGGGTTAATTAAATGAGAATTCACTGACACCTGACATTATATCACGGTATAAACAAATAAGGATAACATTCGCAAAATTAATCCCCTTTCCCGACCGAAGGTAATTACGTCCGTTAATAAACTCATTAAGAGCATCGTAGAACGCGCAACTTTAATAAAAGAATTTCTGAAAAGTGGCGGCGATATAGCGAGAGGAAACAGTTATAGAAGTTGAAAGGTTAGGTGAAGACATTGAGAAGTCTAATGGGAATTTTACTGAAGTTTAAGTGTCAAGAACGTTTTTTAATCTTTTGTACTTGTTATTTGTTGCTGAAATTTTTGTTTGTGATTTCTGCAAATTTTTAACTTGATGTCAATTGAAAATTGTAATAATTTATCTGAGTAAGAAAATTTTATTTTTATACTTGTAATTTGTTGCTAATATTTTTATTTGTGATTTGTGCAAATTTTTAACTTGATGTTAATTGAATATTTTAATAATTTATTTGATCAAAAAGATTTAATAAATTTTCCTATTTGTAATTTGTTTTTAAACTTCAATTTGCAATTTCGATTTTCAAGTTCAAATATTTAGCTTGACTTTAATAGAAAAATTGTATAATTTATTTAATAATAAATACAATTTTTTATATTTCTATAGAAAATGTTTTTTTGTTCTTTCTTCTGTGACAAAACCATGCTCTACAATTCAAATTATCCGCATAACTAAAAATTGGACAACATTTTACTATTGATTGCTACGATTTAAAATATTTAAATTGTGATTATGCAAATTTCAAGGTTCATTATTTGAATACTGTATAATGCGGAACAGTTTCACTGAAAATGAAATGTCTTTCGTTAAAATAATATTTCGTTATTAAAATTACCTTTATTGTATAAATTTTTTTATAAACTTTTTAATTTAATATAAATATTATAAATAATTATGAACTGACTTTGAGTAGAGAATTTTAACAAAATTATTTCAAATAAACAATTTAAGAAAAAAAATATTATGTTAGTGTATAAAAAATTATATAATAATGATTATTTATAAAAATTATTTATTTATTTATTATTTACAAATAAATGTAATAAATAAACTAAATAAACTATATAAACTAAATAAACTAAGTAATCTGAATAAACTAAATAAACTAAATAAACTAAATAAACTAAGTTAACTAAAAATACTAGAAAAACTAAATAAACTAAATAAACTAGATAAACTAAATAAGCTAAAAGAACTAAACAAATTAAATAAACTAAATAAACTAAAAAAACTAAATAAGCTAAGTAAACTAAAAAAAAATAAAAAAAAATAAAAAAAATAAACAAATTAAATAAACTAAATAAACTAAAAAAAAACTAAATAAACTAAGTAAATTAAAAAAACTAAATAAAATAAATAAAACAAAACAAATAAAATAAATAAATAATATAACACAAAAAATGTTTATTATAAAAAAAAAAAAACAGATATTAAAAAATATGAAAAACAATTATCAACCCACCTTTGTATAATCAAAAACAAAAACAATAATTTTAAACATACAAATAATAATTTCAACAATTATAAATAAATCTTAAAGTATTATTTCAATAAAAGACTGTTATTTTACGCAAAATTGAAGCTTCTAAAGGCAAGCTTAAGGAGGTCCATCCCGAACAATAACAAGAAAGTTTGTGATACATTAACTGGATTATCCATGGACCAGCGATCCTTGTTTCCATCAAATGCATTCAATTTTAATTGTATACCTAAAATCCTCGTACACAAACTATACGAACTATAAGATTAACAAGTTTACGCTTTCTGGCAGTTATGTGGTAGTAACCTGTTGCAGCTTATCCTTCAAACCCGCGGTTTTGTTACCACAACGGTTTACGTTCTATCTCTTATAGCTGTTGCATATTTCATTTTGTTACATGAACAAACAATTTATTACATGAGAATTGTTTTATGAAAAAAAAAATACGGATCACATTTTCAGAATTGAATTCCTTGGTTTTTGAAGGATGTTTGGTAGAATTTTGTGGAGTGCGGGAATTTAGGAGGGAAAATAGGGATTTTCTTTTTCTTTTTGTAGACTTTGTAGGCAGGGTTTCAGATTTGGAAATTTAGGTACTTTTGAATTTGCAAATTTTTACTTTTTTGTATTTGTAAATTTTTAAGTTTTCCAAATTCATAAAACCCCAAATTCCTAAATTTCCAGATTCCCACATCCCCAAAGTCCTAAATTTCCAAATTCCCACATCCCCAAATTCCTAAATTTCCAGATTCCCACATCCCCAATTCCTAAATCTCCAGATTCCCATATTCCCACATTCCCCAATTCCCACATTCCCCAATTCCCACATTCCCCAATTCCCACATTCCCCAATTCCCACATTCCCCAATTCCCACATTCCCCAATTCCCACATTCCCCAATTCCCACATTCCCCAATTCCCACATTCCCCAATTCCCACATCCCCAATTCCCACATCCCCAAATTCCCACATCCCTTAATTCCCACATCCCCAAATTCCCACATTCCCAAACTCCCATATCCCCAAACTCCCATATCCCCAAATTCTCACACCCCCCAATTCCCACATCCCCCATTCCCACATTCCCCAATTCCCACATTCCCCAATTCCCACATTCCCCAATTCCCACATTCCCCAATTCCCACATTCCCCAATTCCCACATTCCCCAATTCCCACATTCCCCAATTCCCACATTCCCCAATTCCCACATTCCCCAATTCCCACATCCCCCAATTCCCACATTCCCCAATTCCCACATCCCCCAATTCCCACGTCCCCAAATTCCTACATCCCCCAATTCCTACATCCCCCAAATCCCACATCCCCCAATTCCCACATCCCCAAATCCCATATTCCCAAATTTCTGAGTGTCCACCCATCTAAATTTCCAAATTACCAAAATTCCCAAATCCCCAAATTTCTAAATTCCATTCTTCCCAAATTTCCAAAGCACCAAATATCAAATTACAAGTTCAACGAAAAAAATATTGAGAATATAGCATCCCATATACGTTCATACACTGCACATTTCAGTCTTCCTTCGCGAACCTGAATAAAAAGAATAGCTTCACTTGCATAGATGCAAGGAGAAAAGAAAATGGACCGTCATCGACGTTGAAACAGAAAAGCAATCGCTGTCTTTGTCACCTAGTCAATTCAACAGGATATTTAAAATGGACGATCTGACGTCCGCCATTTTGTTCACCCTCACAAAGTTGCTTGAAGACGTCATTCTCTCTCTGCGCACTATTTTTACAATTATCTGTTTATTTATGCACACATAATTCTTTCTTAAAATAATTCTTACATATTTATATATTTATTGTTTTTAATTTTATACACTTGAAATTATTTTTTTGATTGCACAAATAAGGAAATCTAACCTAAAGTAATTAAAGAATATCTAACTAAAGAATACCTAGAGACAAGAAAGACAAAAAATTGAAAAAAAGAAGAATACTCTTTCAATTAAAAGAGTTGCGTTCTTCTTTCGAATAAATTGAATAAATATATAAATCCTGAATGTTATTCGACTGTTTGCATATGTCACCGAGTACAAATAAAAGCCTTTGTCAGTATTTGTATTTAATAATTTGATCGGAATGCAATATCACGCGGATGTGGAAAATTAATCTCTACATAATATTTCATTTCAGAGGCATACTTCATATTTTCTGGAGTATCGCGAGGAATTCTTTTTCTTGCGAATCCTTAGAATTTTTAATTAACCCAATTCACCGCGCAACCACGTATTGGTATTATTTTAGGAAACCCTAATGAGACTGAAATCGCCCACCTTAGTTTTCATTCAGTAGACTTAAATAAAAATACGCGGTCTTCACGTATGTTCGCACTCGTTGTTTCAGGTTCTTGCCTGAGCTATGGACATTCATGTTGGGGAGGTACGTTTTCACATTTTTATACAAATCTGTAATTAAACAGATAATAGCAGTATATCATTCTAACATTTTTTTTTTATTTTTTATTATTACTTTAGGCTTTTTAATTTTTTATGAGGATGAGTGTGATGAGTTTCTAATAACAAGTTTATTTTTTTAATAACAAGTTATTCTCTTGCTCTTACAAAATTTATATTAATTATTATTTTGATTTACCTAAAAGATGACTGACAGAAGATTTAGTAATTTTATAATTTTAAAAATAGATTGAAAATAAAATTAGAAATTTTGATTCATTATTTTTGAAACGCTCTATATACTGTTCTAAATGAAATATTAAACAGTAATTGTTCATTAACAATGTCTTACGTATAGGGTGAAATATTGTCATGTAGATGCAACTTAAAAGCAGTGTTTCGCTGAAATTTAGTATTTAATTTGATTGACAGAGTAGTGACACATTATTTAATAATTACAGCACATGGTAAACGAAGTGGAGGCCATAACAACGGATACGTGTTACCCTTAAAAGGAATGAACGACATGCAACAAGGAGTACCGTTACTTACGAAAGAGCATTTAATATCACGTTTAATTGGTCGGCCATTGATGTCTAATAAATACAAAGGAAGATGGGACAGGCTTTTTAAAGTGAAGTTGAATTATCCAGAACATTTGAACGACGATGATGTCAATACTCGTATTACTAATGAACTTATTGGGTAAGTAGTAACAATACAAATATAAGTTATATGTAAAATAATATATGTGTATAATTCTCATTTACAATACAATATAATTTCATTTTTCTAGTCATAAGAAGTATCAAGGGATATCAATAAATATAAAACGCAAACTTAAGTTAATTCACTTATAGTACTCACCCCAAGAGTTGGCGCGTGTAAAGAAGCTCCCAGACTTCCACTTCGGTTTACTTACTTACTTATTAATTGTTGCACTCTCGTTGGCCTGGCATTGTTTTTGGCCTGAGGTACAGTAGTCAAACCACGAGTTGGTGCGTGTAAAGAAGCTTCCACTTCTACTTCGACTAATAAGAATAATGACAACTGCTGAGAAGCACTATCTCACTCTCGTCTGTCCTTGTTTTTGGCCTGATGTACCGACCGTGAGCCAATTGCACCGCCGAAAATACGTGTGGCGTCCATTTTTCTATTCCGACCAATTGCCGCTCTTCTAAACACGTCAACTCACGCGCCAACTCGTGGGTTGGCATCGGTACCCTTGCCTCATGATTTATTCGCGTCGGTCAGAACATACACTGCTGCAATACTAAAACAGATGGAGAAAGTTAAAATATTGTATCAATTTAGTATTATTCGGTTGACTATGTAAACTGCCGTGGCTCTTCTAAACACATCAGCCTCACGCGCCAACTCGTGGGTTGGCATCGGTACCCTTGCCTCATGATTTATTCGCGTCGGTCAGAACATACACTGCTGCAATACTAAAACAGATGGAGAAAGTTAAAATATTGTATCAATTTAGTATTATTCGGTTGACTATGTAAATTGCTGCTCTTCTAAACACCTTGGCTCATGCGCCATCTCGTGGGTTGCAATCGGTATCAATTCTAATTTATTTAAAAATGTCAGAAATCTCATTAGAAATGAAAGAAGTTAATAATGTACTTAGCTGCTGTTTTGCATTTTATATTTACAATTTTATTTTGCAAATTTTTTAGTTGTTTTATTCATTTATAGTATAATAATTTGTACTGTCATCGACAGAGATCAAAACAACGAGGACATCGACGGTGGCAAAACGAAACACGACGTGCAGGACATGATAGAAAATCTGAACAACGAGAAAAACGAAATACCGAAAATTGTACTGATGCTAAGGAACGAGGAGGATGAACAAGGCAGCAAACCACAGAACCTTGATTTCTTTAAATTTTTGGTAAATTAAAATCTTCTGAATCGTTACTAGTATGCAAAAGTTTTAGTCTCTCGTTTAAATTCAGTCGAATTCCCGCCTTCCTTATGTTACCGACGGTCGGTAATAAAATAGTAGATAATGAACGTTATGGAAATCCTGAAGCTTATGGAAATATTGGAAGACTACTTGTAAGGTTATTGGAATTATAGAAATTTGGGGATAAAGAAATCTAGAGATCTGGGGATTTAAGAGTATAGGAATTCAGAGATCTAGGGATATAAACGTTTAGAGTTCTTGAGACCTAGGGATATAAAGGTTTAGAAATCTTGAGATCTATGGATATAAAAGCTTAGAAATCTTGAGATCTAGGGATACAAAGGTTTAAAAATCTTGAGATCTAGGGATATAAAAATTTATAAATCTTGAGATCTAGGAATATAAAAATTTATAAATCTTGAGATCTAAGGATATAAAAATTTAGAAATCTTGAGATCTAAAAATATAAAAATTTATAAATCTTGAAATCCAAGAATATAAAAGTTTAAAAATCTAGAGATTAAAATTTTTGCATGCATTCAATATAAATCCCACTCAATATATCGCCCTATAATAACATTATACTTTTTAATTGCAGAGCGACGCGAACGGTAATTTCGAATAACAAAGTTTAAGATTATGTCGACGCATTATTGAAATAGAAATTGTCACGAAACTTATTGTAACGAGGCTAATAAGATTATTAATTTCAATTAATTTATTAGCGATTGTGTTTCGCGAATAAAAATCTATGAACATTTTTCGTGTACACGTTCCCACTTTCAATTTTGTAAATATATTATCGGTATTTTAAATAGACAACAATATTTGCATTAACAATCCTTTAAGTCATTTGTTTATAGAACAGGTGTTTCAGTTCATTATCGACCATCGTTTACATATTGATTCCTTCCTGTTGAACGGTTTATTCATAGAGTGCAACGTTTACGATGAACAGAGGCAATATAAACTGATACAAACGATGAAACATATATGAATAATAAATCAATTAATTTGTAATGAGTTATTAATTTTTATTTTAGAAGTCAATAAAAGCTAGATGAGATTGCAATTATTTTACTGGACTTAAGATTAGACGAGTACAGGGTATTCCTAAAATGATGTCCTCGAACCTGTATAGTTTTTTTTAATTTTAATTTTAAAATTGCAAATTGAAATCAGTTTAATCTAATGACATTGGTAATGTATAATATTTACAAGATCAATATTTAATTTAATTAAATGATATTTATTGATGTTTTTAATAAACATTGAAATAGTATTTACAAGATAAATATTTAATTTAATTAAATGATATTTATTAATGTCTTTAATAAAAATTAATATAATATTTACAAGATCAATATTTAATTTAATTAAATGATACTTATTAATGTTTTTAATAAATAATAAAATAGTATTTACAAAATATTCATTTAGTCCTTATAGACTCATCACGAATAAAACCGAATAAAATAAACAAATATTTTATGTTTTACTTCATTTTTTATTGTACAAACAGAGATGTCCACAGGTGCATGCAACGATAATAAAGTATAATAACATTTTCGTTTATTATTTCAACACGAACAAAATGTTATTTACATAACTAATATTATCTCTTAAATATTACACTTCAAATTATATATTTCGCTACAAAGTCAAACAAGAAATATAACATCAATAAGATTATAATTGATAAATGACCGAAGTAGTTTGTCGAAAATTTGTTTGATATACATTTCCCTTTTGCTTTTGTTTTTCTGATCAACGCCGAACTCAAGTACAATAGAAACTTCCGTTTATTTGTCGTTGATGTCCATTTCCGGTTGATGACGATGCTGTGACGTCAGCTGCAATTAAGAAAATATTTTACTTTGTGCAGTGAAAGTGTATTCAAATACATATAGGATGTCTCACAACTTGTGGTCCTTGAAATGGGGGGTAGCTGAAGTGATTCTGAATGAGATTTCCCTTTGCAAAAATGGGGTAGGAAGCTTCGTTTTTGAATTATTAAGGAAAAACGCGGACCAATCAGAGCGCGAGGATTACGCATGCGCAGACGCGAGAGTGACAGCTTCGAGCCTAGTGGCTGAGCGCGCGTGACGCGCTGGATTACTACGCGTTGGATATTCACACGCTGGGTTACTACGCGTTGGATTACTACGCGTTGAATATCCACGCGCTGGATTACTACGCGTTGGATATTCACACGCTGGGTTACTACGCGTTGGATTACTACGCGTTGAATATCCACGCGCTGGATTACTACGCGTTGGATATTCACACGCTGGGTTACTACGCGTTGGATTACTACGCGTTGGATTACTACGCATTGGATTACCACACGTTGCATTAGTACGCGTAGAATTACCACGCGTTGCATTACTACGCGTTGGTTAACTACGCGTTAGATTTCCACGCGTTAGATTCCTACGCGTAGAATTACCACGCGTTGTATTACTACGCGTTACATTACTACATGTTGAATATCCACGCGCTGGATTACTACGCGCTGGGTTACTACGCGTTGGATTACTACGCGTTGGATTACTACGCGTTAGATTACCACGCGTTGCATTACTACGCGTAGAATTACCACGCACTGCATTACTACGCGTTGGATTACCACACGTTGGATAACTAACCCCCTCCTAACCCCTTCAGTATCCACGTAGAAATAAAAATTGATGTACCCATTGTCGAAAGATGGAGGACAAGATGTAATTATCAAGCCTCACTGGCGGCTGACGGCGCGCTTCAAGAAATATTTCTCGTTGTCCTAGGAATTTTTGTTTCGGCACTTCAAACTGATTGTACAAAGGAACGTCTTGTGTTCCCTGGATGTTGTCACTTGTTGGCACCTCATTTCGTTGAAACGTAATATCTCGCAAATGTGAATCGAACCTCTTGCCGTGTCCACCGAAACAGGAGTGTCCAAAAGCTGAGCAGCCACCTGAAAAAAAGATACTAATTAATAATCAATATTCTATGAATCAAACTACGAATTTAACTATGTACAATATACGATAGACAATTGCTTTATCTCTGTCATAAATACTTTACTTTATATAAGAAACCAGAATACTATTTTAACGCTGTACAATATCATTGTAACGAAATGTTGTCCAAAATACGGATATTCGCCAACAATAAAATTTCCGCCACTTTAAACATGAATACTTGTCTCAACCGATTGAAACTAAAGCTAAATACAATACCTAAGGAAATATTATTACTGAAGCAGAAATTTCATTCAACTCTATTTCGATAAAAGGATGAATGAACATGATTGTGTAACTCATTGATTCCTTAACTGGAAATAAATTTCATATTACAGGAACTAGGAAAATGTGGCCTCTGAATATAGATTATGAAACACAATGGACAGCTTTGTACAGACAGCGTTTTCTTTATGGACCTGCAAACGTTTTAGTCCGAAGAGGAGTCCTTTCTGAGGATGACACACGGAAGTTATACTTATTTTTAGACAGATGTTTTCGGTGTGTGTATGCGTGAGATGGTGCTCGAAATGAATTTATGACAATTTAATATTAATACTTTGTAATATGTGGTAATTCTGCGCGTGGTAATTCCACGCGGGGTAATTCTACGCGTAGTAATTCGGCGCGTGGTAATTCAACGCGTAGTAATTCCACTCGTCGTAATTCCACGCGTAGTAATTCGGCGCGTGGTAATTTGACGCGTGGTAATTCGATCCGTGGTAATTCGACGCGTGGTAATTCGATCCGTGGTAATTCGACGCGTGGTAATTCGATCCGTGGTAATTCGAGACGTGGAATTTCTACGCGTGGTAATTCGACGCGTGGAATTTCTACGCATGGTAATTTGATCCGTGGTAATTCGACGCGTGGTAACTCCCCGCGCACTAATTCACCGCGTACTAAAAAAATGAAACATATACCCTTGCACCCAACCTATCCGTACATTATCGATCGAAAGCACAGAATCAAATACATCTCCTACCAGATTACACTGTGAAAGAGAAAATTGAACCTTTTTAATCTCATAAAAAGAGCAATTTCCGCAATTTGCGTGTTTCTTAAAACGAAACGTAAATTACGAATGCACGATACGAATCAGTGGAAGGAAATTATAAATCGAACGCAACGAAAAAGAGGAAAATCACGTCGTACACGAGCGGCACAACTGAAAGCTAAACTAAAAAGTCGAGTAGTAAACGCGATTGGTTATACGTGATCTGCAAAAGCAATGGTAAAAGAAAAAAATAGTACGAACAAATCGAGCGAGGGCGTAGCGCACGAACTTATTCACTCAATTATTATCTTAAACGAGAGCTGGCTTTAATCGATCATTGGTTTCAAGCTTCTTTCATTTAGCTTTCTTTCGCGCGATTTTAAAAGCTCCGAACATTTCAAAAAGGGATTCTGAGTATACTCGTTAGATGAGTAGGTTTTTTTTAGTGGACACAAAGAGCTACTGCGTAAATTTCTCTTTTGAAATAGGGAAGCAAAAGATGAATTTGATGGTGCTAATTTTATGGTTGGAAAATGAGGGAATTATTTTTGAGAGGAGATTTTGAAGCGAAACTTTGAATGTTATTCGGATAAAAATTTTGTTAAGCGGGTTTTTGCATTTTACTGATGTAAGTAGTTATTGAAGTTGTAGAATATTTTAATTATTCAAATTTTGCCTTTGGATGATTATAGTAGTTTTGAAAATATCAGTGTTATTATTGTTGCGGATATTTGCATTCGACCCATAGTAATTCAACGCTTAGGAATTCCACTCGTCGTAATTCCACGCGTGGTAATTCAACGCATGGTAATTCAACGCGGAGGAGTTCCACTCGTCGTAATTCCACGCGTGGTAATTCAACGCATGGTAATTCAACGCGGAGGAGTTCAACTCATCATAATTCCACGCGTGGTAATTCAACGCGGAGGAGTTCCACTCGTCATAATTCCACGCGTGGTAATTCGACCCGTGGTAGTTCTACGCGTAGTAATTCCATACGTGGTAGATCAACGCGTAGTAATTCGATCCCTGGTAATTCAATCCGTGGTAACTCGACGCGTGGAATTGCGGCGCGTAGTAATTCGATCCATGGTTAATCGAAGCGTGGTAATTCGATCCGTGGTAATTCGACGCGTAGTAATTCGATCCATGGTAACTCGACGCGTGGAATCCCAACGTGTGGTAATTCGATCCGTGGTAATTCGACGCGTAGTAATTCGATCCGTGGTAGATCAACGCGTAGTAATTCGATCCCTGGTAATTCGATCCGTGGTAACTCGACGCGTGGAATCCCAACATGTGGTAATTCGATCCGTGGTAGTTCTACGCGTAGTAATTCGATCCATGGTAATTCGACGCGTGGTAACTTGAAGTAGAATGTTAAAATACATCAAACATTGTGGAGCAAAGGAAAGCAAGTAGAGCAGATAGTAACGCAAAGCAAACAAAGATGCAAGATAATACCTTTACGCGCCATATCGCCATCATATTTTGTGTACCTTACTCTTAAAATCTTCCGCATATTTTTGTCATATGCATATCTTTGTGCAATAAATTTTACATTGCTTCGGTCTTTTTATTTTAACCAATCCTTAAAAAGATATTGAAATTAATTTATCCTCGTTAAATAATAAATTATAAAATTACGAAATCCATTTGAGCATTAAAAAATTATTTAAATTGTATTGACGAATATATGCTTCTTGAATTTTGCAGTCTTATTAGGTTTTTTATAAAAAATAGTAACAATGAGTTTTTCATTTGATGAAAATCATATAAAATGTTTTGTATTCGATATTGTTTGGTGTAATACATTTTTTAGCACTCATTGTAAACTTCCTTGTTAAATAAGTAATATTGTTCAAAAATTTTTGATGAAATGTATACAGGTGAAGTATCGTATGAAAAAAGTAAATAATATTGTATTTCTGACGCAAAATCCAGATACTGTTTTATAAAAGATAGAGTTATAACCGGCATTGTTTGGTTTATCAACAAAGAAACAAACTGAAACAATGAATAAAACACGAGTTCAAACCAAGTTTTGACTTTACACCTACGATAACGAATATATAGGGTGTCGTGTTTTACATTGGGTTCGTCAATTGTGACCCACAATCGACACATTTAAATTTTACTAGTTTTACTAAAATTAACAAATATCCAAATTTACAGGTTTTCAAATTCCCAAATACTCTAGTTTTCAAACTCTCAAGACTGACAGTTATTAAATCCTCAAATTCCTAGGTTTACAAATTCTAAAATTCCTAAACTCTTAAGTCTCTTATTTTCAAATCCCCAAATTCTCAAATCCCCAAAATTCTCAAATCCCCAAAATCTCAAGTCTCTAAAATTCCTAAATCCCAAAAATTCTCAAATCCCCAAAATTCTCAAATCCCCAAAATTCTCAAATCCCCAAATTCTCAACTCTCTAAAATTCCTAAATCCCAAAAATTCTCAAATCCCCAAATTCCTAAATTCCCAAACTCAAAAATCCCCAAATTCTCAAATCCCCTAACTCTAAAGGTCCCCACCTTCCAAAACCCCAAAACTGACATATTCCCTAAACCATTTATCCCACCTCCATTTATCCCTAGCCAAAGAACACCCTAAGTGCAGGGTCCCCAACACCTTTAATACTGCACTGCGTCAACCTTCAGCAGTCACTCACATGTCCCTGCAGAACTCATATGTCCCTCTACAGACAAATATTCCTAAAACCTTGATAAAAACGAATGAAAAAAAAATACTCCCTCCATAAAATAACTTCCTACAATTCGTAAAGCACGTCAACTCTGAAGATCTCTAAACCGTCCAATATACAAGATATCTACACATAACTTGTACCAAAATACAAAAACAAATTCGTTCTATGTAAACAACACCCACGTCCCTGACTTTTAACAACACTCTTTCATAAATTGATTTTCAAAGAGAAATAGAAATACTTCCGAACGACCAGTTTCCATCGTTCCCACTTTGTGCTCGCGATCGTTGACATGCATTCTACATTTCGACAAGCTATTCCCAGTTTCGGTGGCCAACAATTAGGCGCACATTTAAACACGAATGGTATCGACAACTCGCATGATTCGAAGATGCTTCAAAATGTAATGACATATATCCTGTCTTTATTGTTTCCGTTCACTGTCTGACAGCTTGTGCGTAGGATCGTCGACAGATATACGTTGTTTAATATTTTATGGACAATTTAACAGATTGACGGCTGCGTGTAGATATTCATGACTTTGATACGTAATCGTAATATATCGTGTTACAATTAATATCCATTGGAAATTATTAACTTTAATGGGTTTGCGATGAATATCTCGTTGCATTTATTTAACTGTAAATGTGTAATCAAATGTGTATGAATAGAATTAATAACGTTTAAAAAACCTTTGATCAATGTATGTCTCTGCAAAATAGAATTCGAACGTCAGATAATTAAGCGTGTGATAACTGAACACTTTATAACCGTTCTATAAGTGAACCCTTGACTATTGACCGCTTGATAACTGAACGCCTTACAACCATTCGATAAGTGAACCTTCGAGTATTGACCGCTTGATAACTGAACGCCTCTCAACCGTCCGATAAGTGAACTGTTGACTTTGACCGCTTGATAACTGAACTCTCGACGATTGACGGTGTGGTAACTGAATTTCTGACAATTGACAGTCAAATAACTGAACTCCTGATGACTGACCGTCTGATAAGTGAACTCCTGATGACTGACCGCCTGATAAGTGAACTACTGATGACTGACCATCCGATAACTGAACATTACTCAATCAAACACATCGTAAGCAAACGTACGACACAAAAATTAATATTTATTAACAATTTATTAACGCGTACAAAAATTCTTCCCTAAAAGAAACAGAAAAATATTCTCTAAAAGAGAAATTTAAGAATTTAAAATTCTTCTGCATGTCAAAGCATCTCCTTAACGTA